TCTCAGCCCAGATCGAATCATGGAGGAGATACAGGAGGTGCCCCACAGACACCTGGATGCTGCCTCCCATCCTTCAGGTTGGGGCCTGGAGAAGGGATGGGGCGGCCCTGAGGTCACACACGGAAAGGCGAGCCAAAGCCAGGAGCCGGACCCAGGTATCCCGACCGCCCTCTTCCCGGGCTCATTCACAGCGGACCACTCTGTCTCCCCACCCGTGACCCCGAAGGAAATGGACGGAGGGAAAGGAAGGAAGGGGAGGAAGAAAAGTAGGCTTGTCTTTAAAAGACTGGTTCTGAAGAAATCCATTTGTCTTTATCGCCTATCGGCCCCGCCCCTGTCTCACAGGCTGGCACCTGGTACCACCCCCATCTCCCTTCTCCACTGCCTCAGAGGCTGCCGCTGCTACCTTTCAGAGCCAGTTAGAGGGAGGCTGGCTAAAAAGTCAGATGTGGAAAACAGTACGGCGGTTCTCAAAAAACTCAACACAGAATTCCACTCCTGGCTCCCCAAAGAACTGAAAGCAGGGACACACACCCATGTTCATAGCAGTATCACTCACAATAGCCCAATGGCAGAAGCAACCCGAGTGTCCACCAGTGGATGAATGGGGAAATAAAATGTGGACAATTTTCAACACGGTGGAATACTATTTAACTTTAAAAAGGAAAGAAATTCTAACACCTGCTAGGTCATGTACACATCTTGAGAACATTATACTAAGTGAAATAAGCTAGGCAACAGAAGGACAGGTACTGTATGATTCCACATCGATGAGGTCCCGAGGGTGGCCTAATTCATAGAGACAGAAAATAGTGGTTGCCAAGGGCTGGGGGCGGGCGAATGGGGAGTTAGTACTCAATGGGGGTCAAAGTTTCAGCTGGGGAAGATGGAAAAAGTTTTGGAGCTGGATGGTGGGGATGGTGGTACAAGGATGTGAATGAACTTCACGCCGCTGAACTTGACGCTTCAAAACAACTGAAACAGTAAACTGTGGTAAATGTATCTGACCACAAGAAAAATCCAAAATTTAAAGGCCAGTTGGCCCATCTCTCAAACTCAGGGGTCTCTTCAGGCGTCCCACTCAGATACTTGGCCTTGCCCGCCACCACTGGTAAGGGGGAAAGGGAGATGCCCACCCAAGCCAGGCGTGTCCTTGGCTTCCTGTCACGCATCAACAGAGGTGACTCAGAGAATAGGTCCTTGAGGGGAGCCCAAATCCCCGGCCCAGGGCCCCAGCCCACCCCAGCTCAGCCTGTGCCCTCAGGCTCCAAGGCCCCCACTTGAATCTCTGGGAAGGGAACCCACTGGGTCCAGGCATTTTTCCTAAACAGGTCTCAGCCCCACTGGGGCCAGGCAGCCTCCCTGGGTTGCGGGCTTCATCCCTGCCTGGCTCCAGGGGTTTCGTTTATTTTCAGTGCATCCGCATTCCTGTTTCCACCCTGCCCACAGGAGGGAATGTTTTAAGGAAAATCTCAGTTATTAATGTGGTTTCTTTTGTTGTAAGTCACTGCGAAGGCAGCAAACGAGAGTTTATTTTCCTAACGTGCTTGGCATAGCTCGGCGCCCCGGCCCAGACCTCAGCGTTTGACTTGGGAGGAACCCGAGACCCCAGTTTGCTCTGAGTCACCGGCGAAGCCACAACCTTCCTGGTCAGTTCCAGGGGGAGCCTGGTCCAGGGAAATCACTGGCAAGTATAGACTAGATCTACTGATGACTTTGTGAAAACGAAAGATTGAAAAATCTATTCAAAAATTTTGAGACTGCTAACCCGACAGGTTGAAAATACATCAATTTTCTATCTCATTGGTTTCCGCATTAACCTTTATTTTTTTAATAAGGGTCACCCCATTTCTTCATGGGCTTCCCAGGTGGCACAGTGGTGAAGAATTCGCCTGACAATGCAGGAGATGCAGGTTCGATCCCTGGGTGGGGAAGATCCCCTGGAGGAGGGCATGGCAACCCACTCCAGTATTCTTGCCTGGAGAATCCCAGGGACAGAGAAGCCTGGCGGGCTACAGTCCATGGGTCTGAACAGAGTTGGACCCAACTAAGCAGCTGAGCATGCATGCATGTCTCTGGTTTCAGTCGCTGCCTTTGGATCTGGAAACATCTCCAGAAGCCACAAGAAAAACCTACTTCCAAGCGTGTCCAAATCCTCAGCGAGGGGCCAGGACTCCCTCGGGGTCCAGAACTGGAGGATGAAGCCACAGCCGAGGGCCCACGGCTGCTGGCCTGGGGACCAGAGTCCCAGCACCCTGAGGTTTGGCTGCCCGCTTATTAAAGGGGCCCAGTGACGCGGGCTGGGCTCATCAGGATGGGGACGAAAGGTCCCTTCCCCTCCACCTTTGGAGACTTCAGGAGTTGGGGATCCAGACACAGCGGGAGGGGGCACCTGCTAGAATGAGGAAGGAGGGGAGGAGGGCAGGATGCCAGCCTCTCCTCCATCCACCTTCCTGCTCAGGGGTCTGGGCCCCGAGCAAGCCAAGGGATTCTCTCTCCCAGGCCTGGGGGCTGCCCCAGAGCGCCCCCAGCCCTGCCCCCTGCCGCCTGGCAGCGGGCACCGCTGGAATGTGCCAGCTGGCCTTGGGGAGCTGCTTGACTCGATACAAAACATTTGGGTTTCGTGGCCTAGAGATCTGTTTCCAGTCTGAGGAGTGAGTATAGGGTTACCTCCTTTTAATTTTGCCAAGGACATTAAAACAAAACCATCTCCAGCCATCATCCTTGTTTCATGAAAGAAAGTGCGTTTTAACACCAAAAGTGAGCTAGCAAAGATGGAATCTCAAACAGAGAATTCTTTAAGCTAGGTTTTTGAGCTTCAGGAACTCTCTGTAGTGTCCACGCTGGGCTTCCGTTTGTCTGTCCAGGCCTGGAGAAAATGTCCCCAAGGGCTGGGGCTGGGATGATGGAGCTGAGGTCTGGGGGGGGGGGGGGGCTCCTTGAGCCTGTCCCTGACTCTGCCTGTGGCCCCCAGTCCCTCACAGTGACGGAAGGAGATGCCCACCTCTGGGGGCAGACTGACCACCACCCTCGGCCCTGTCCCACCTGACCCCACCCCCGGGGGGTCCTCTGTCCCCAGTACCTGGGAATTCCCCATGTGCAGAAGAGAAAGGGCTCCCGGGCCCTCAGTGGGGGAGACACAATCCCAGGGGGGTTGCTGGGGAGGCCCCGCGGCTTGGGGGCTGCCAGGGGCCCAGGCCGAGCACTTGTGACCCCAGCTATTCTGGGACTCCCCCAGAAAAGTCCCCCACTTGGAGCCCTTCTAGGCTGTGAGCAGCAGAAGCAGGGCCATCTCCTGTCCATCCCCATGGCCATGGCCGGGGCAGAAGCCCACGCCCACGGCGGCCAGGACTTGAGGACCAACGCCGCCTCCCCCCCCCTCCACCGACCCCGGGCCTGCGTCCTTCTCTTCCCATCCCACCTGCACTCCGCCCTTCTCCTTTCCTTCCTTTCTTCAATTTGCTCCTCCTTCTGTCCCCAGTCCCCAGGGTTCCCCCACGCCTCAGGGGAAACTTGGAGACCTCCCCTCTGTCCTGCGGGGGAGCCGGCTTAGAGCCAGCGGGAGACCCGATGACCTCAAACAGCGGCTGGCAGGAGCCACCGGACACCAGAAAAGGGTACCCCACTTTTCTCTTGGCCCAAACCAGATACCGCCCATCTTTCCACCAGGGAAACCCCAGCTCCCAGGAGGGGGTCAGCCTGCTTCCTGATCCCCTGGGTGGGTGAACAGAGGCCAGAGGGGCTGGCAAGAGGTGGACGGACACCACTGGGAAGGCCTTGGAGGTCATGGCATGCGGCTGGCGCCGGGCGGGCGCCCTCTGAGCAGCACCGTGACAGTCAGGTGTGTGTCAGCCGTCCCTCTCGGGTACACCCAGGCTCCCGCACAAGGGTTCCGACAAGGCTGTTGTCGCCTCACCTTTTCCTGCATCTCCTTTCATCTGAAAACTGGGGTACGCAGCCACCCAGGGCTCCCTGGAGACCCCGGAGGCTGGCGCAGGATGTCGGGGACCCCAGGGACAGGTGGGAATGCTTCTAGAGTCAAGTGGGTGACTCTTAAAGGGCCCAGAGTCTCCAGCAGGTCTGCCTGCCCCCCAGAGCGGGCAGTGGTCTCAGAGGACCCCCACACTCCTTTCCAGGGCCTGGGGTGAGCTATGCCAACTCCAGCCCTCCTACTCCGTCCACGAAACTCTCCCGGGCCAGGATCTTTGCTTTATCTTCATCTTCTCCTCTTCCAGCCACTCCCCCCTTCTTACCAAGGGCTCAGGACCCTGCAGTCCTCTGTGACTTTTTGGAGGAAAAAAAAAAAAAGCCACTTGGGTGGGTTGTTTGTTTTTAAAGCCCCTTCCTGATGACCTTTAACCTCGGCAGGGGAAGAGAGGCCTAGCTGGCTTTTCAGGGCTGGGCCGCTCCCCCTAGGGAGCTGCTAGCAGCGGGGGCAAACTGGAGGGGGACGGCAGCATCGATACCCCGGCCAGGGCAGCAGTCGCTGGGTTGGTGTCCCGGAGGAGAACGGGGCAGAGTTGGAGACCCAGCTGTGCGACTAGGTCTCTTTGCCCCACTCGGAAGCCTCAGTTTCCCCAGCAATAATCGCACTCACTTCTCCCAGGCTGTTTGGGAGTTGGGGGCTCGAGGGGCACCTCACGGGGCAGGGAACAAGGCAGCGCAGCGCCCTGTGCTCCCAACCACAGGAGGTGGATCTGGCCTCCCCCAGCCGACAGCTCCCGTCCCGTCCATCGCCGACAAACAACCTCAGCGAGGGCGGCGGCGGCGGCGGCGGCTGGGGCCACGCCAGCCGCTCGGGAGGCGGCGCCCAGCGCCCGCACCCCCGGAGGTCCCGCTGCGGCGCCTCCTTCCCGGGCCGGGGTCCGGCGGAGCCAGCGCCCCCGCATCCGTCGCCGGTCCCGCGCTCGCCCCTTCGGGCCCACGAGCCTCTGGCCCCGCACCCCCGGCCCCTCGCCCGGCCGCGCGCCCCGGGCCCGGCCCTGGCCCCGCGCACTCACCGTCCTGCGGCGCCGCCTCGCTGCCGCTGCTGCCCCCGGACGGCTCGCGCGCCGTGCCCTCCCGCGCCTCGGCCCTGGGCGCGGGGCGCGCCGCCAGCCGCCCGGCCGCCGCCACCTCCTCCAGGTCCAGGAGGTGGCTAACCGTGAAGTTCTTGCGCGCCTGGGCGCAGTCGCCCGGCCCCAGCGCGGGCGGCGGCGGCCCCGGGCCTAGCGCCGGCTTGTCCGGGGCGAAGGCGGGGCCGGCCGCGCTGTCCATACCCGCGGGCCGCCCCGGGGTCGCCGGCGGCGGTGGCGGGCGCGGGTCCGAGGCGCGGGTGGCAGGCGCGGGTCGGAGCGAGCGCGCCCCGGCCGCCCTGCGCTCGGCCCCGCTCCCGGCCGCCTCCTGGCTCCGCGGCCCGCCCGGCGCTGACGTCGGGGGAAACCAACTTTCTTCCCTCCCCTTCTCTGCCGCCTCGCTCGCTCCCAAGTTGCTCCGACGCGAGCTCCTCCGGCCACACGCCCCTTCTTGAAGCAGACCTCGCCCCCTGCCTCTCCTCCTCCCCCTTCTCCTCGCCTCGCCCGCCCCCACCGCTCCGGCTGCGGGAGGGAGGGGGTCCCGCGCCAGGCCGGCTGGAGGCTGGGGGCGGGGAGGGGGGGAGAAGATAGGGGTGTCCTTCTTTCAGCGTCCCCACCCGCATTTGGAGGAATGGGAAAGTTCAGTGTTTGGGTATGTGTCTCTCTCTCTTTTTTTAATCCCCCAACAAGTGTCTGGGGAGGTGACGGTGGAGGGATTAGCAGCCCCGCTTCCATTTACAAATTCCTCCGCAGGAGACTGGGGGAGCGACTCTGGGGGGAGACGGATTCCACGGAAGATCTGAAACTTCCCAACGCACCGTTTACCCCCATGCACCCTAACGCTGCCGTCCCTGCCCAGACGGATGAGAGTCCTGGGTCCGCCTGGTTCACACCACCTTGCGCCAGGTTCTCTGCCCCAGGAGGGCATCATCAAGCCTCTGGGGGTGTAGCACCCTACCCCCAGCCCACTTCGGTAATAGTCCAGGCCCTCCCCAAGGAAAACCAAAGCAAGAGGAAGGAGGTTCCTCCCTCCCCTCCCCAGAATTCCTAGTTTACACACGGAAGATGGATAGATAGCCAGACGACAGCCAGACTGACAGATGGGTGACAGAGAGTGAGAGAGAGAGGCCTGCCTGGGTCTCTGCTCTTGTTTTTATTTTGCAAAGAAAGCACAGAGAAGATGACCCCGGTGGTGAAGCGACACTGTAAGCCGTCCAGATGCTGCTGGTTTTTCCCCAAAACTGCTCTTGGGGGCCTGGCCTTTCATTGTCCCCTCCGCCACTGCAGAGCCATAACGTTTGAGCAAGAAAAGTAAGCCCACCAGGAGAAGACCTTCAGAAACTCCTTTCTGGGCTCCCGCAAAGGCAACCCAGCATGCACACACCCCTGAAAACCTGTAGATGGGCGGCCAGGTTTTGCATGAGCCTGGATTTTTCCCAGAAAGGCATCACCTCCAAGATGAGGCCAAGTGTCCCCCACATTAGCCACAGTCATCCATAAGAGCACCTGCGAGGGTAGGTTGAGGACCTGGAGATGATGAAAGATGAGGTTCTTCTTTTTTTTAATTTATTTTATTTTATTGGTCATGCCACATAGCACGTGGGATCTTGGTTCCCTTCCCAGGGATAGAACCCCCACCCCTGGCACTGAAAGTGCAGAGTCTTAACCACTGGACAGCAAATTCTTCTTCTTTGGAAAGTTGCCCAACGAGTGTCCAATGAGAAAGAGATCCAAGGGCTCTGGGGGTCCCCAGCGCTGCCCACATGTGAGTGGTTGAATGACTTTCTGAGGTACTGAGCAGGGTGGGGCTGTGACTGGGCTCTAGGAACTGTCTGGAAGAAACTCCCCTCCCCCTCTGCCTGCTGGAGCACCCAGCAAGCGAAGGGTAGGGGGCGCTTATCCCTGGAAAAACACAGCCCGGCATTCAGAGCAGCATTGGTGTTGGAGACCGGGTGCCAGGCCCAGTCCACCATACACTGCTGTGTGACCTCAAACATGTCCCTCCCCTCTCTGAGCCCCACCTCCTCCCCTGTGAAGTGAAGTGAAATGGCTCAGTCGTGTCCGACTCTTTGTGATCTTGTGGACTGTAGCCTACCAGGCTTCTCCATCCAGGGGATCTTCCAAGCAACAGGACGAGAGCGGGTTGCCAATTCCTTCTCCAGGGGATCTTCCCGACCCAGGGATTGAACCCAAGTCTCCCGCATTGTAGGCAGACACTTTACCATCTGAGCCACCAGGGAAGTCCTCCCTTGTAGAGGGGGGTCTAATGATGCACCCACTGCTGCTCTGTGGGCATTCCACCAGAGTGCAATCCGGGCGTATGGCCTAAAACACAGGACACTGTCAGCATCAGCCTGCAGAGCTGGCAAGGGCCTGAACATCATCCGGGTTCAAATGTAGACCTTGCACTTCTCAGCTGTAAGCTTTGGCAGCCTATTAGTACTGGCCTCTCAGTTGCCACATCTGTAAAGTGGACTCTTAGGAGGATTCAGTAGGTTGATATATGTGGGGCACCTGATACCTGGGGAGCAATCAATTAGTGTTAACAGTTACCATTTTTAGGGGACTACCCTGGAAGTCCACTGGTTAAGATTCCGCTTGCCAATGCAGGGGACACAGGTTCCATCCCTGGTCCTGGAAGATTCCACATGCCACGTGGCAACTAAGCTCACATACCACCACTGCTGAACCCACATGCCCTAGAGCCTGTGTTCCGCAAGGAGAAGCCAGCGCACCGCAGTGAAGAGCAGCCCCTGCTTGCTGCAACTACAGAAAAAGCGTAGCAAAAAAAGACCCAGCGCAGCCAAAAAAATAATAATATTTTTTTAAAAGATAAAAAAAAAAAAAATTTATTCCAAAAAGTCATGGAAGGCAGTGATGGCAAACTCCATCTTTAGTGCTGAGGAGATGCCAGTTTGAATCTGTGCACTGCCATTTACTAGCTGTGTGGCCTCGAAGAGGTCACTTGCTGGTCCTCCCTGAATGTGATCTGTCATCTGTATGATGAAGGGACCAATTTGAAAGGATTCTTGTGAATCTGGCATTCTTCATGTTGTTGTTATGAGGCTGCTAATTCCCCTGGCCAGTCCTGGGGCTGGTGGCTGGGGTGGTACAAGGATGGCAGAGTAGGGCAAGTGGCATTGACTGCTATTCTATGGCTCAGCTCTTGAGCAAGAGCTCCAGGCCTGAGGCAGCCTGGAATGCACCCCAGGAAACGCCAGTTAACCTGGGAAGGATGGAACTCATTACCTGAAAGGGATGCAGCTAAAAGATAAATGACTTCCACGGTGGTCTAGGTAAATCCTGTGATGCTAACCCAGAGTGGGCAATGAAGGGAGACTAAGATCCCAGTTTGGAGCGTCTCTATTCAATGAGTGGTTATCAAACCAGGCCCTGCTCTAAGCAGAGGGGAAGGAGAAGAGAAGGGAACAGAGGGGCCCTGCTCTGCGGAGAGGAGCTGATCCTTAGTTGGTACCTCTGTTCGAGACTGGCTTCCAAGTCTGAGCATGAGTAAAAACGCATATTTGTCCCAGTCTTGAAAGCTTGCATGCTTTAAAAAAAAGTTAACTTCTCTTATTACAGAAGTGACATGCTTATTGCAGAGATTTTAGAATACACGAATAAAATTAAGAAAATAAAAGCACATATATATATATATCCCACTCCTAGAGATTTCTGAGACACAATAGGTTTTATATACATATATATATAAAGTTGGTTTAATGAGATTGATGAAAATCTTCCTATTTATTCAGTATTGAATTGAAGACCTAGAAGAAGCTATAAGACAAGAAAAAGGAGTGAGCTGAAAATAGAGTTTATCTTTCTAGCTTTTATCTATATTCTAGATCAATGAGAGAACAGTTAAAAACATTATAAAAGTTAAATTATGCTGTGGTTTTTAATAGCTTGCACATTGTGTCATTAGTCTTGTCCACTATTATTTTTACTGAAAACCTAGTGATACATTATTCCCCATTGCTGTACATCATTCCCTATTACTATACATCCATAGTTACTTTCTTGATCGTAAATACCTAGAAATAGGATATCTGGATGTGGTAGGCGGATAACAACCTCCCAAAGATATTGACATGATAATCCCTGGAAATTGTGGATATGGCAAGGCAAAACTAAGGTAGCAGATGGAATTAAGTTTTCCTATCAGGTGACCTTAAAACAGGGAGAATGTTTTAGATCATCTGAATAGGTCCTTTAAAGTAGAAGAGCGGGACTTCCCTGGCAGCCAAGTGGTTAAGACTCTGTGCTTCCAATGCAGGGGATGCGGGTTCAATCCCTGGTCAGGGAACTAAGATCCCACATGGCACGCAGCAAGGCCAAAAAATAAATAAAAATAATTTTAAAAATAAATAAAGTAGAAGAGAGAGACAGGAGAGTCATCATTGGAGTGATGGCAATGTGAAAGACTTGACTGGGCAGCTCTGGCTTTGAAGGTGGAAGAAGGCAGCCATGACTAAGGAACACAGACAGCCTCTAGACCTTGGAAAAGGCAAGAAAATAGATTCTTCCCTGGAGCCTCCAGAAGGAAATGCAGCCCTGCAGGACGTTCATTTTAGCCCAGGACTTCTGTTCTCTGAGAAAGATTGAAGGCAAAAGGAGAAGATGTGACGGTTAGATGGCATCACCGGTTTCATGGACATGGATTTGGGCAAACTCTGGGAGATGCTGGAGGACAGAGGAGCCTGGCGTGCTGCAGCCCCTGAGGTCATAAAGAGTCCGATGCAGAGAGTGGCCACTGAACAGCAGCATCTATTCTCTGCAAAGGTTAACATAATGCCTTTGTATGGTTTTAAAACACTAGGTTTGTGATCATTTGTTACAGCAGCAGACGGCTAAGGCCCTGAGTCACAGATACTGGCCAAAGATTTTAAGACTTTTGATAATATTGCTACATAGCCTCCAAAAAGGTTGTATCAATTTCTACCCCTGAAGAGCATGCGGCTACTTTAGTTATTTTCTCTACTAATGGTACAGGTCTTTATGGTTTTATTTAAGGTGAATAAAATGTGCCCAAGAACTGTCTATTCTCTTTCTTTACTGCACAGCCTCCTCTTGGGATGGGTGACTCTGATGGCCGGCCGGCTGCTCTTCCAGGACAGCTTTGTAGCTGTTAACAAAACACCGTGGACACTCTCAGCACACTTAGATCTGTTGCACATCAGCAGCGTTGTTACTTCCAGCTTCTTGATGCTGCAGATCAGGAACTTCAGGAAGCCACTGAACAGCCTCTACTTGTTTCCTTGTTGCTCCCGTGACCTCTGCTGGGCATGGAAAACAGGCCCTTGGATCTTCTCTGGATCCCCTTGTGAATGCCTGAGTTCCTGCCCAACTCCCCCTCTTGTCATACCGCTGACAGACCAGGAAGAAGGATGATAATATTAATAATAACTTGGACTTCCCTGGTGGTCCAGTGATTGAGAACCCATCTGCCAGTTCAAGGGGCATGGGTTCCATCCCTTGTTTGAGAAGATTCCACATGCTGTGGGGCAACTAAGCCCATGGGCCACAACTACTGAAGCCCAGGCTCTGCAACAAAAGAAGCACTGTAATGAGAAGTCTGAGCACCGAAACTGGAGAGTAACCCCTGCTCGCTGCAACTAGAGAAAGCCCGAGCACAGCCATAAATAAATAAAATAATAGTAATAACTTACTTTAAATTTTATTTTATTTATTTTATTATTTTTTTTTTTGAGCTGTAACTCCTTTTATTTTCTCTGTTTAAAATCAAACAGAAAACAAACATCAATTTTGTTATACACGAACATTTCCAAAGTACATTGTTTGTACAAGAGAAGGACTAAGAAACAAAAAGGTGTTTACAGAGATCAAACATGGGTGGGTGCACGTGCCTCACACGGCTTTCCGATGGTACTCGGGGGGAGCCACTTCATAATCACTGGCACTAAACAAAGTTGCAGAGTTCTTTGCCAGGTATTTTAGGAAATCGTGAAGATAATTCAGTAATAAAGCAAGGCTCTTCTCATCCAGAGGTGTATAGGCCAACATTGCTCCAATTCGTACAAACAGTCTCAGGAGATGTGGCGCCCCGTACACCTGGGACATGGGTGCATCAGGGTGGTCCGCAAGGATCTCAGCGTACTGCGGCCTCTCAAATTTGTAGAGCAGTTGAGTGCCCAACATCACATTGAAGTATTCCTTTATCCCAGCCACAACCTCATTGACTGCATACTCCTTATTATCTGTGTTTCCTCGCGATTTCTTGTAATTTGCATAATCCTCTAGGATGGAATCCACGTTCTTCTTGGCGGGAAGATAGAAGAGCTGTTTTTGCCGGGTAATTAAGTCCCAGTCATCAACAAGCCATGGCTTCAGTTCTTCAGGAATCTTGACTTTAACTTCAACTCTGCTCATAAATGTTTCCTCATTTTCAACAGTAGGATCTACTCGAGCCCTTTTCTTTCGAGGAGGCTGAGGTGTTTCACTAGTGCTGCCACCATCTCCATTTCCAGGTGTCTTTTGTTTGCTCTTTTTCGTTTTCACTTCAATATTTTTTTGTTATAGCCCAGCAGTCTTCTTTCCAGGGGCAGCCCCTCGCATCTTCCCCTCTGCATACTGCTCCTGATTGGCTTTTTGAAGTTCTCTCTGTTTTTGTAAATTGGTATCCACATACTTGAGTACTCTGCTTTCCGGAACCCATTCATCCCAATTTTTATTCCAACCACTGTAATGGATGAAGTATTTGACCTGTTTATCCTTTATGGCAACTTTTGCACACTTTGCTTCATACAGAAGAGGCCCATGAAAGCACAGCACTCTCTCACCCTCCTGGAATTTAGGCTTTGGGTCCTGCTTCGGCGCCATTTATAAAAGATTCACCGCCGCTGCCTCCTCCTTCTCCCACCACCCGTGACTACCGCCCCCTACTCTCTACCCCACCCAGCTCCACTTTAAATTTTAAAAGGCATTTTCTTCTTTTAATACACATGTTGTTATTGTTTTTCAGTCGCTCAGTCATGTCGTACTCTTTGCGACCCCATGGACTGCAACACACCAGGCCTCCCTGTCTGTCCCTTACCATCTCCCAGAATTTGCCCAAGTTCATGTTCATTGCATTGATGATGCTTTCCAGCCACCTCATCCTCTGACACCCTCTTCTCCTTCTACCCTTGATCTTTACCAGTCCCAGGGACTTTTCCAATGAGTTGTCTGTTCTCATCAGATGACGAAAATGATGGAGTTTCAGCTTCAGCATCAGTCCTTCCAGTGAATATTCAGGGTTGATCTCCCTTAAGCTTGGCTGATTTGATCTCCTTGCTGCCCAAGGGAGTTTCAGGAGTTTCCTCCAGCACCACAGTTCGAAGGCATCAATTCTTTGGTGTTCTGCATTCTTTAAGGTTCAGCTCTCACAACCGTACGTGACCACTGGGAAGACAATAGCCTTGACAATATGAACCTTTGCCAGCAGAGTAATGTCTCTGCTTGAATTAATCACTGAACAGGAATATTTAATGGCTACTCTGCTTATTTTTTAATTTAATTTTTATTTTATATTGGAGTACAATTCATTTGCATTGTTGTGTTAGTATCAGGTATGTAGCAATGTGATTCAGTTATACATATCAGTTCAGTTCATTCAGTCGTGTCTCACTCTGCGCGACCCCATAGACTGCAGCACGCCAGGCCTCCCTGTCCATCACCAACTCCCCCAGCTTGCTCAAACTCATGTCTATCGAGTCAGTGATGCCATCCAACCATCTCATCCTCTGTTGTCCCCTTCTCCTCCTGCCCTCAATCTTTCCCAGCATAAGGGTCTTCTCCAATGAGTCAGTTCTTCCCATCATGTGGCCAAAGTGTTGGAGTTTCAGCTTCAGCATCAGTCCTTCCAATGAATATTCAGGACTGATTTCCTTGAGGATTGACTGATTTGATCTCCTGGCAATCCAAGGGATTCTCAAGAGTTTCTCCAACATCACAGTTCAAAAGCATTTATTCTTCGGCGCTCAGCTTTCTTAATAGTCCAACTCACATCCATACATGACTACTGGAAAAACCATAGCTTTGACTAGATGGACCTTTGTTGGCAAAGGAACGTCTTCGCTTTTCCAGATTATTTTCTCATAGAGGTTATTACTTTAACAGCTACTTGTATTTATTTGCAAAATGTCTGATTATATTCACTACTCATTTTTCTTATGGAATGGTTCTGTTTCTATAATTGGGCCATTCTTTCACTGTAACAACCTCTGTAGGACACTTGACTGTCAATCACTAAAGGACTAAGCCCATTTCACAGATGGAGATACAGAGACCAAGGACGACGTGGCGTCCTGCAGCTCTTCTGTTCACCTGATCAGCCCCTGCAGCCACAAGCGCAAGAGCCTCTTCTGAAGGAGACAGTTTAGCAGGGACAGCACACAGAGGCTCGCGGGCCAAGCTGTGTTCACTGCTGCACGTCTGGGGGATCGTAAACACTGCAGGCCGATGTGACTCAGATGTGACCAGGCGTGACCGTGACAGATCACAGGGTTCTGTAAATATTGTGTCAGGCTGCTATCGCAGCGGGGCTCCCTGCTCACCCCAGACCCCGGTCCACCCTGCGGGAAGCGGAGCCAAGCCTAAACGGGGCAGAACATCTGGTGCCCTCCCTCAGCTCACTGCCCAACCTTTTCCCGGCCTCAGTTTCCTTCTTAAGGACCCTCCACACCAGGAAATTCTACGGAAGTGACTGGTTCTCAGTTCTTGGCAAGGGGTGAAATACTATATCCCTTTGAAAAATGTTTCTGCTCTACCTTCAAGTCCAAAGATAGAGATGTCCTCCAGATAGAGGGGGCTCGTTATTCACCGAGCCTTCCTGTAAGCCCAGAGAGGTACTGAACCGTATCGCCTTGTAGCACCCTCCCAACGACTGTGAGGGGAGGTGGAAGGAGACTGGACAGCTTGAGCTCCATCTCCTGGTAAGCTTGTCAGGCTTCTAACCATCACAAGTTGTCCCATGAGGATTTAGGGCTAAGAAGTCATTTGTTTCTCTTGAAGCATTATGGTCCCGCCTTAAAAAATGAAGACCAAGTAATGAGATCTGCACAACCCATTGCGTTTCCCTTTTTGCCCTAGCTACCAGGAATCCCAGATAATGTTGAGACATAATCACAGTAATTCTCTGTCCAGGAGGCAAGTCAGTGTATTAACTTCTCTTTTCCTCTCCTTTCACATGACTTTTTCATTTTCCTGTGTTTAAGTCTTTCTGATGCAGTGGCCCCTGCGTTTGACATTTTCCAGCTGCATGACATTCACCGGGTCACCCAACCTCTTGGCCTTTTAGTTTCCTCACCTGTAAGATGGAGGTACCAATGGGACCTATCTCACAGGGCTGTTGTGAGAATCAAATGAAATGATCTGCGTAAGAGTTGAGCAAAAAGCCCAGCATGAGCCTGGCAAGTGGAAAACAGTCAATAAACAGCACTGATGGATGTAGTAACAGGCTTTGGGGGACTTTCCTGATGGTCCAGTGGTTAAAACTTCATTTTCCAATACAGGGGGCACAGGTTTGATCCCTGGTTGGGGAACTAAGAGCCCACGTGCCCAACCGAAACATAAAACAGAAGCAATATTATAACAAATTCAATAAAGACTTAAAAAAAGAAAGAGGGTTTTGATAAAGTCAAAAGAGCAAAGAGAATCTGTCCTAAATGGGAAGAGTTGGCTGGGTACAAGGCTGGCCTGCTCTGGGCCTGCTGTGTGACTCTGGGCTGCGTGCTTTCCTCTCTGAGCCTTGGCGTCCCGTCTGTAAACTGCCTGCTCTATCGTTTACACCGCCGTGTCTGCAGAGCCTGCACGGGAGGAGAAGGAGAAGTGATGCAGGCCCTGACACAGCGCACAGTAGGGCTCCATGCAGGCTTATTCCGAAAGAGAATGGTGGATCAAATGGCTGGTGGTCAGAATCTCTACTGCCCAGGACACACCTGGCTGGCAGGATGCCCTAGGTCTAAGCCTCGCTACAATGGCATTCAGGCAGTTCTGGGGACCCGAAGACCTGCCCAGGGCTGGGACAGGCCTGGATCTGGGTCTCAGGCCAAATGACAGGCTCCTATTAAGAACCTGCTGCATGCAGGGCTCCCGGTGGGCACGGCGTGGTGCCCAGGTTACTTACACTCTGGACCTGCGACAACCCTTCTTACCTACCTGCCCTTGGGGCAGGGCTCACAGGCTTCACAGGACCAATGGGAAATGGTCCTGAACAACTCATGCCACAGTGATTTACTGAACACCTATTGTATACAGAGGGCTTCCTGGCTGGTGGCAGTGGTAAAGAACCCACCTGCCAGTGCAGGAGACATAAGAAATGCAGGTTCGATCCCTGGGTGGGGAAGGTCCCCTGGAGGAGGGCGTGGCAACCTACTCCGGTATTCTTGCCTGGAGAATCCCCGTGGACTGGTGGATCCGTAGGGCTGCAAAGAGTCAGACATGACTGAAGCCACTGGGCATGCGTGCACAGGCTGAATACTGAGGCCTTTTGGAGGAGCACTAAGCCGCGGTGGGACGGACACTCAAGAGGGGCTCCCGTTTAATCTCGGCAGTCAGAGCATCACAGACTCAACTCAGGTGCCCCAGGCACTCTGTTCCAACAGTCGTCTTCCAAGCTGTAGGCTTCAGGCTCTGGGGACCCATGTGACTCCCAGGTTGAGCCCTGCTGGAGAGGTCCTTTCTGTTACAGGTGGACAATCTGAGTCTTGGAGGGGAAAGGCACCCCCTCCAGCCAGCGATGCATCCCACCCCCTCCATCCCTGGCTTCCCCAGGAATCCAGGGAAGGATGCAGGGTGAGGGGCATGGGCCTAGCTAGGCCCAGGGCACCCCCAGCCTCCACAAAGGCTTCCGGAGCCCTCGGGGCCGTGCCCTGGCTCCCTCGCGGGCCTGCCAACATCTTGCTGTGATTACTCTGCGGTGAGCAGAGTGGAGCTCCTCGAGGCCCGCACTCAGCATGGGGGCGGGGGCTGCGGTGGCGGAGGACAAGGTGGGGCTGAAAGACAGGGCTGGGGCATTCAGCTCACTGGCTTAATTGGGGATCTAATAGTTATTATTATTTATAACTCGATCTTGAACCCTCGCCAGGAGAGTGTGTTCACAGCCTGTACGATCCAGGCAGGCGTTAAATAATTAAACCAAGGGCCTAATCGCTGGTTAAACTCCCCATGGGCCCCCACTTCCTTAGTTCGCTGATTGCTGATATTTTGGGGGTGAAATATGACCATTTTTACGATCAAAGAGATCAGAGTTCCAAAGGCAAAAAACGGAAAAAAAAAAAAAAGGAGGTGGGGGGGTGGGGGGCTCTTCCAGTTTTCTTTTCCTCTGACTTAGTGGTCTGGTAAAGTTTCTTTAGACATGCAAAGATTTACACACCTTTCTGCAGGGAGCC